TCTCAATACTTTGCCACGTCATCATAGCATCTCAATATTTTGCCACGTCATCATAGCATCTCAATACTTTGCCACATCATCATAGCATCTCAATACTTTACCACGTCATCATAGCATCTCAATACTTTGCCACGTCATCATAGCATCTCAATACTTTGCCACGTCATCATAGCATCTCAATAATTTGCCACGTCATCATAGTACCTAAATACATTGCCACGGCATCATATCATCTCAATACTTTGCCACGTCATCATAGCATCTCAATACTTTGCCACGTCATCATACATGTAGCATCTCAATACTTTGCCACGTCATCATAGCGTCTAAATACTTTGCCACGGCATCATAGCATATCAATACTTTGCCACGTCATCATGTAATCTGAATACTTTACCACGTCATCATAGCATCTCAATACTTTTGCCACGGCATCAAAGTACCTCAATACTTTGCCACGGCATCATATCATCTCAATAATTTGCCACGTCATCATAGTATCTCAATACTTTGTCACGTCATCATAGTATCTCAATAATTTGCCACGTCATCATAGTATCTCAATACTTTGTCACGTCATTGTATTATTTCAATACTTTGCCACATCATCATAGTATCTCAATACTTTACCACGTCATCATAGCATCTCAATATTTTGCCACGGCATCATAGTATCTCAATACTTTGCCACGTCATCATAGTACCTCAATACTTTGCCACGGCATCATAGCATATCAATACTTTGCCACGTCATCATAGCATCTCAATACTTTGCCACGTCATCATAGTATCTCAATACTTTGCCACGGCATCATAGCATATCAATACTTTGCCACGTCGTCATAGCATCTCAATACTTTGCCACGTCATCATAGCATCTCAATACTTTGCCACGGCATCATAGTATCTCAATACTTTGCCACGTCATCATAGCATCTCAATAATTTGCCACGTCATCATAGTACCTAAATACATTGCCACGGCATCATATCATCTCAATACTTTGCCACGTCATCATAGCATCTCAATACTTTGCCACGTCATCATACATGTAGCATCTCAATACTTTGCCACGTCATCATAGCGTCTAAATACTTTGCCACGGCATCATAGCATATCAATACTTTGCCACGTCATCATAGCATCTCAATACTTTGCCACGTCATCATACATGTAGCATCTCAATACTTTGCCACATCATCATAGTATCTCAATACTTTACCACGTCATCATAGCATCTCAATATTTTGCCACGGCATCATAGTATCTCAATACTTTGCCACGTCATCATAGTACCTCAATACTTTGCCACGGCATCATAGCATATCAATACTTTGCCACGTCATCATAGCATCTCAATACTTTGCCACGTCATCATAGTATCTCAATACTTTGCCACGGCATCATAGCATATCAATA